TAGAGTTTTAGTTGGTGATTATCAGATCCTAGAAGGGAACCCGCACTACGCTGCGGGATTATAGACTATCAACTTTGAATTTCTTATATTATTTTATAATTTTTTTGATATATCTTAATGAGCTTATTCATCCATTGTTTTTATCGAGTTTTTTTTAATCCAAATCATGATTTAGTGTTAATTTATTAACTTTTTCAAATTATGAATTTTAGGTTTTTTCACACATACACATATATATATATATATATTTATCACTAATTCCATTTTTGTTTTACGTATATCTTTAATATTTTGTATATTTATTTGTTGTTGTATTATTATTTTTTCCTCTTTGTCATTTTTTCTATATTTTTATAATTTTTTATTTTTTCAATTATTTATTGAACGTTAATTTTGGTACTGTAGTTTTCTTCTTATTTTTTATTCTTTAGATATTTAAAATTTGCTTAGCTTGTTATTTTTAATTTTGACTCATATTTTTTTTTCTTCTTTTGCACTGAGATTAAATTATATTTATTAGTTCAAAAATAAAGATTAAAATCACACTTATAATCTGTATTATTTTTTATTCATATATTGATGATTTTTTAATTTAAATTTTAATTTGATTTAACTTATGCTTATGATGTTTTAAATTAGATTTAAATTTGATTTAAGTTATGCTTATGATTTAATGTTTGTTACACAGTTGAATTTAAATTAAATAGTTTATATAAGAATTAATAGTTGGGACAGATTTTAAGTTAAGCTTCTAATATTTTAGTTCAACTTTTGATTTCTCTTGTGATTTATTTTATATTTTTTTCCTTGATGATTGTAGCTGATAATTTTTTCAATCCATTGTTTTTTACTTTTTTACATTGAAATCTCCATCTAGTGATTATATATGCTTTTTTCAATTTACTATTTTCAATTTTTTTTTTCAAAATTTTTCAATTGGTTCTATCTATGTTCCTTATGCCTCTATAAATTTTATATTTATTTATTACCATATTCTTTTTCTCATTTTTTTCAAAGAATCAGATCCTAAATGCCCCTGAAGTTGAGAAATTAAAACAAATCAAAACACAAAATATGAATTTAAACAACTAATATGAGGTTAAACGAATAATATGAAGTTATGTTCAAATCTTATAAAACAAATAAAAAATTAATTAAACTACGAGGTTGAACAATATGATTTTTTTTTTCACGTTTTTCTTGTTTGAAAATATGATTTTGTAGAGTATATACTGTTTATAGTGATAAGAACAGAATGATAATAATAAAATTTAACAAATTATTTTCAATCCATCTCGCAAATTTTAAATTTTGAAAATAATTTTAACAATAGTATTTTAGAGATTTAAGTTTATTAAGTTTTAAGTTTTCTCGTCCAATTGATTATATGTACGTTTTTTATTCAACTATTTTGCTATTCAGCTATGATATACCAGATAAACCCTAACTCTCTAAATTTTGATGTATTGAAATAATCAAAATAAAAAGTCATATATATTATGAATAAAAAAAAGTTAAATGTACACATTAATGAATGATAAATGTGATATTATCATCTTATTTTTTTGAGAAAAGTTTGATGTGATATTATCTTTCCAAAAAAGAGAGTATGTAGTCTACTCTATGACATTATGGTAATTAAAAATATGGAAGGTATCTAACAAGTACTAGTCAAAATTTAAACATTTATTATAATTGAACTTGCCTCTAAACATACAAATTCAAAGTGTATATAACTGCTTAAAAACCAAGACTATTTTCCTCACTACAGGCATCAGTCACATTTTCAAGATATTCGAGGTATAATAGTCTCGATCTAGGCCCTTTTTTTTTAAAAAAAAAACAGTCTCAGTCTTTCATTCAATTCATTTAGCATATTCATTTGATTTTGGTTTTGTGATCTTTGAGTCAAGTATCAATACTTTGATCTTTTTTTCTGTACATTATATTAAAGCCGTAGAATTTTTTTTCCCTAAAAGCTAGTAGGAGTTTTAGAAAAAAAATTTCAATATCTCACAGTTTAACCACAAACATATATATGTAGTCTATAACTAAATCTGAAGTCTTATTATATATAAAGATTCAAGAGTTATTTCTTCTCATTTCATCCATCTGTGTCTTTTAGGGTTAAAAGAGATAATACAAAGAAGAAGAATGGCTTCCAATCCTTGCTCTGCATGCAAAGTCCTCAAATCCGTGTGTACAGGTGAATGCGTTTTTGCGCCATATTTTCCATCAACGGAGCCTGAAAAATTTGACCGTGTGCATAGAATTTTTGGAGCCGAAAATGTTTACAAAATACTGAGCAATGAGACTTTCTCACCTTTACAACTTGAATATGCTGTTAAGGCTCTCAGCTATGAAGCTGAAGCCCGCATACAGGATCTCGTAACCGGTTGTGTTGGTATGTCTTTGGCTTACGAAAAAATTCTCAACAATTTAAAAGAGCAAATCGTCTCAGCAAAGAATGAGATCGTAGCCACCATGGGATCCGATAAAGTACGGGAATATAATGATATTCCTATGCCTGATGATTTCCTCATGACACAAAACCAACAGATGGGTGATAATCATGGAGCTGATGAGGCATCAACATCTGCAACGCCACCTGCATCTTCAGGAGGCACCAATGATACTCAACAGATACTTTAATTGCGTTAAAACCAGAACAAACCATAATGAAATGCCTGTTGTGTTTATTTGATATTTGCATGCACCTCAATTCCCGTGATAACTTGTTGTCCTCCTTTCTTTATTTTTATTTCATCATAAATTCATGTAGTTTCATTATATAAAAAATAATTCATGTTGTTTGATCTAAATCGATTTTCAAATTTATTTTTTGTTTTTTTTGTTTACTAGAGAAAAACTTAAATACATAAAGATTGAAACAAATTTGAATCTAGATCTTTTGGGTGATCATATAATTTAATAACATAAAAAATTACATGAAAACAATTTTACATGCGTAATATATTAAATATATGAGTAAATGAAATATGGTTATAATGGTAGGATTTGTATAAATACTTATTCTGCATGTAATGATATGCGATTGAAAATGTCGGTGGTCTATATAAAGGGCATGGAGGAGAGATGTCAATGAATACTAGTTTGTCTTATTAGTTTGCCTTCTAAAGAGTTCGGTCTCTTATGTCGTTGTGGGTGTTCCCAATTAAAAAAAAACTAGTTAGATATACATAAAAATAAAGTTAATAAACAAATCATTCAGTAAAATTATATTCATGGAAAGTCCTAACTGACTTCTACATTCAATTCTCAACAAGAAAGCCCCTTTTAAACTCTAGTTGTCATTATATCTCTGATCGCTTTTGGGTAAGGAGGAGAATGGTCAAGCGATATTTAGAATCTAAAATTTGGAGATAATTATTTGGTTCCTGAAAATAATGTTGTAACTTGTATGAACAGTAAAAAAACAAGATTTCATCTTGAGTTGGGACTTGGGTCAAAAAATTTGTTGTCGAGGAATGGTGATGTTGTTACTCATGCCAATATCACTTTGGCGCAAGTTGAACATGGCTATAAGCCTATAACCCAATATTAATATTGAGATGAGTCCGATTTTTTTTTGTGAAATGGTAGTTTAATTTTTATGTTGGCTCGAAAAAAATGAATATTAGTTGGTGATGATTCAGCACAGGTCTCTAGAGTTTTAGTTGGTGATTATCAGATCCTAGAAGGGAACCCGCACTACGCTGCGGGATTATAGACTATCAACTTTGAATTTCTTATATTATTTTATAATTTTTTTGATATATCTTAATGAGCTTATTCATCCATTGTTTTTATCGAGTTTTTTTAATCCAAATCATGACTTAATGTTAATTTATTAACTTTCTCAAATTATGAATTTTAGGTTTTTTCACACATACATATATATATATATATATTA